TGCTTTTCTCAGGCTGTTCTCTCCATTTATTTGCTATCAGACTTAACCATACTCTCTAAATTCTAGTTTTAACTATGCTGCCTAAGCTATGCTTCTAAAGTTTCTTTAATTGGACGCACTTGAGTTATAGTCTATTTGATGGGGCACCCTGGCAGCAGCCCCCAAAGGTTTACAAAAGGCGAGCCAAAGTTGGTTCTAAAGCCCATGCTTTAGTTTGGCACATGGCCAATGATTAGAAGCTTAGTTGGGAGCTTAATTAAGTCTTTTATTAGTAGTTTATTATTATTATTATTATTATTATTCTTAAAACTATTTAATTTTTGTCAAGTCCTAGTTGGATTAGAACTTCTAATTAAGAGTTCTATTAGGAGTTTTAATAGTTCTTATATATATACATGTTTGTAAGTTTCTCTAGACATTCAGTTAATAATATTCAGATTTTTTTCAGCAAGTTTGCTCTTGATTGGGTGAAGCAATCTTGATTGCGTGAAGCAATCTACCTCAGGAGTGATTCCTAAGGGTGCCTAGGTGTGATTCCTAGGGTTCTTTATTCTTCCCTGTCTTCTAAACTGAACTCCTAACCTTCCTTTTTACTATTCCCGCACCCTATTCATAGCGTACACCATCTTCAAATAAGCTTCTAAATCCTTAAGCCCACCAGACCCCCTAACCTTTTCCGCATCACTATTTTTGGCTTCTTTCATTGTTATTGCAACTAAAGTTGGAAATTTGAAATTAAACTTAAATCTTAGGAATGGTCAAACTAAACTAGATCCAATGTGTTCTCAAATGTGATATTGCTGCTTTTTTCTTCTTTCCTTGTTTCTTGATATCTTCATCTTTGATGTTTTAGGAGTTGGGTATAACATCTGATGAGGCATTAAGCTTATGGGAATTACCTAAGCAAGCCATTGTGCTCAGACTGGGGGGGGTGGGGGACGGCGTGGTTCCTAATCTGTCTGCTGTATTCTCTTAGTCTGCTGAGCATGTTCATTATTCATTTGATAACTATTATTGACGTACATTGCTGTGGAGTTTGCTTCAATATGGAAAGGAATAGGTGCTACTGTCAATCTCCTTTTCAGGAAGGAACTTCCATTGAGGTTATTATTCAAGCTTGATCCCATCATATCTAACTTTCATGGTTC